ATATTTTATTTATTTATTTATTTATTTGAGAGATAGAGTTACATACAGAGAAAGGGAGAGGCAGAGAGAAAGGTCTTCCGTCCACTGGTTCACTCCCCAAATGGCCGCAATGGCCGGAGCTGCGCTGATCTGAAGCCAGGAGCCAAGGGCTTCTTCCGGGTCTCCCATGTGGGTGCAGGGGCCCAAGGACTTGGGCCATCTTCTACTGCTTTCCCAGGCCACAGCAAAGAGCTGGATTGGAAGAGGAGCAGCCAGAACTAGAACCGGCACCATATGGGATACTGGCACTGCATTGGGAGGCTTAGCTCACTAAGCCACAGTGCCAGCCCCCCCTTCTCTTTTCTTTTCATTTTTTCTTTTCTTTTCTTTTTTTTCTTTCTTTTTTTTTTTTTTTTTTTGACAGGCAGAGTGAACAGTGAGAGAGAGAGAGACAGAGAGAAAGATCTTTCTTTTCCATTGGTTCACCCCCCAATGGCCGCTGCGGCCGGCGCACTGCGGTGATCCAAAGCCAGGAGCCAGGTGCCTCTCCTGGTCTCCCCTGCGGGTGCAGGGCCCAAGCACTTGGGCCATCCTCTACTGCACTCCCGGGCCACAGCAGAGAGCTGCACTGGAAGAGGAGCAACCGGGACAGAATCTGGTGCCCCGACCAGGACTAGAACCCGGTGTGTGGGCGCCGCAAGGGGATTAGCCAAGTGAGACGTGGCGCCGGCTTCCCCCTTCTAAGTCTTAATAAAACAAGGTCTCCTGAGGAGATAGGCTGCTCATGACCTTTGGGATCTGGAACTGGGAGAATTTTATTCCCATACTCCATTAAAGCCTTTTAACCTGACCCAGATTAATAATATACTTTATCCGGTCTTGAGTCTCTGAGGCAAAGAGGATGTCAGCAGTGAGAAAGGGATGCAGGCAGGCAGGTAGGGCAAAGTCAATTCGATTTGTGAGCTGGGAGACCACACCCCTGTGATGTCATGCCCCTACCTGACACCACTTCTATACCCACCTGCAAATCAGACTACCTAACCACGCCCTTTGGAAGTAGATAAAAGGCCTGGACCAATGTGGGCCCCTCCCTTGTTACACTGTGCCCCTGGGCATGAGGCCTTATGGCCTCAGCCCTGCCTCTGTTTTCCTGCCCGCATGCTTGCTCCACGCAGCTCTTGGCCTGCTCTCTGCTCAGTATGGACCCAACTTAGCTTCTAGACTTCTCTTCCTCCCTTAATTAAACCCCTCACCTTCCTGTATGTTTCTTTCATTGAAGAAAACACTAAGAATTTACTATGTTGTCTGGTCTATTTGAGCCAGTATTCAGAATTCTTCTCTAAATAGATGTCAAGAATCCACTAAGATTATCAATATTTAAAATTATTAATAAGCTGGATGATATCAGAACCAAAAGCCCATGTCTGAGAAGTTATCAGTCAAGGGTTGAAGCACACAACTAGCTTCTGATTTTGTGGGACACTGACACTGATGAGGAAATGCAGACTCACATTCTAAGAACACTCTGACAGGCAGAGCACGTACGGCCCACCCAGGTATTCCTGGAGCTCAGGTTTGAGGATACACTCTGTCTTTTATTTTAATAGATGATCTAAATTGGGCAGTGCCTCGGTACAGACTAACATCATAACAAAGGACTTAGACTTGGGAAAAAAGCACTTGCAAAAATAGCGAATCTCTTCCAAACAAAGGAGTTGGGCATTGAGATATAATTAAAAACTGGTGAATGGTAAGAACATTCTCTATCTGATACACTAAACAGGTACATCTTAGAGAGCAAGGTTAACCATCAGCCTTCCTAACAAAGCAACTCTCTGGGGACACAGGTCCTGTCAAGATAGTATAGAGTGCCTCCTATTGCTAACAAATTAGCACTCTTCTGTATGATGCCAGTGATCATCTGAGGCTCTTGACATGAGTACCTGGGCTGTGGAAGACTCCTGGGTTCTCACACTCCATCAGTCTTTAGACAAGGTCACGAGCAAAGTGGAAGTTACCCCCTCCCTTCCGAAGAGTGCATTTCCTCTTTGATGACCACTTTTGGCACTGAGGCATGGCCCACAGAGGTGCTTCCTGTCAGGACACTCCTTGCACCAGTGCCTCAGCTTTCCACACTTGAAATGTTCTCCTGTGGGCTTTTCAGCCAGACCAGAATGCCTTTGGAGCTGATTTCTAGATCACTAAGTGCTAGTTATACTGATTGCCATTTTCTGAGTCTGCTGTTTAAATTCCTATATTGGAGCATCCTTTCTTTTTAACCTTATTTACATGATTACTAAATACATGAAATGCTATATTGTTGCCAAACAGCTCATGGGATTTGGGGTCCCATGGCCCGTCTCTGAAACTGCACCACTAGAAATAAGTCCATAGGAATGAACGCAGTGCTATATACAGCTGAACAGTCTGTAGAGACTGAGAAGACAAAATTAGATGTGGCTCTCCGCAAGACCAGTTCCACTTAAGCATGTGACTTAAAGATGTAATTTGGTGCCTTAGAATCTTTCTGTACCCCAAAATTGGGTTCCCTATTTTATACAGTCTGCTACAGGGGCCCCCTGTAGTAACCAGCTCACTCAGGGGGTGCTCTCTATATAGATCTAGATCTAGGGGTGTTACCATCCAATATCCCATATATATGTATATATATGTATATACATGTGTGTACATATATGTATGTAAATGTATATACATATATGTGTATATACATATATATACATGCCACCATGCCTCAGGTATGCTGTATGGTTTTACCAGGAAGTGTATTACCATTGTGAGATCACCAGTCCACCCAGAGGCAAACACAGAAATGTCTGGGGCATGTCCATAACACCTACATTTGCTTGGAGGCTGTTACCACCACACTGCTGGCGATTTTGAACTACAGGATGCATAAACTCATGTCAGAAAGCCACGCACCTGAATTAATGAAAAAGAAGAGAAAAGCAGCGCATGGCTGCAAGCAGCTGCCAGAGTTTTAGCTCAAACCCTGGAGCTATTCAAGCACCTCCAGATGTTAGAGGAGAAAACCCCTTTACTGAGAACACTAGATGATCTGTTGCCAATCTTCCAGTGCCCATTGGTGGTCACCATTTTGGAGGCAGAATCCCCGCCTTCTATGGCAGGAAGTGAAGTCTTTCCTCTTTGGAGTCCTGCCTCCTGATGTGGGTGTGGTGATAAGGCAACAGAGCTTGCTTGCATACCCTTCCAACCAGGTGGAGAGGATAAATTGGCACATGAAAACCCTGCTGGATTTCAACCAAAATCCCTTTAAAGAAAATACTCATCTGCCACATGAGATCCATCGGCAAAAATAAAGACTTTAAGTTCAGGCTTTTCCTGTGATAAAAATTAACTTTAAAAACACATCAAATAACCTGGAGACACTTATAAATTGGCAAACATTAACAAGCTGGTCCACTCTCTCCCCTTTCCTATGTCCAAATTCCATTTATGCTACCAGTCTGTCTTAGCTGCCCCTCCACTGCAGCTATTAACATTAGGGAAAAGCTACCCACATTTGCATTCTAGCTGACCTGCAGAGACCGTTGACTGCAGTGAGAGTTAGAGAGAGGTTTTGAACAAAAAACAAAATAAACAAAAAGCATGTGCCACTGAGACAGAGATCCACTTACCCCACTCCCTTCATATGATTTTTCTCCTGGCTGGCTCACCAAGAGACAGGTGGGAGACGTGGGACAGTTTAGAGCCCACTAGAGGCCCTTGCTTCTACCTAGAGAAGCATTCTAAGTACTTGCATACATGTGGTGCACAAAGTGTGAAAGTTTATTTAAAAAGCGAGAAAGCAAACACACACACACGTGACACACACACACATGTGTGGGCATAGCTGAGGAGTGGATGGGGGACAGAGAGAGAGAAAGTGCTGGGGGAAGAAAAGCAGAGAAAGGTGGAACCGCTCAGCAGCTCCTTGAGTCTTGGTCTCCAGTGGAAGAAGAGAGCACTTCCCAGCACCCCTCTCATGAGGTAATGTGCTCACCTGGGAGTTTTAAGATAATTCCATAAAGTTCCACAGAAAGCTTTGATAAATGTATATGTGTATATATATATATATATATATATATACACACACGTGCACATGTGCATATATAGTATGTATATACATACATGGTTTATATACATATGCTTACAAATATACATATTATATGCCTCCTTTATCAGAGGTCCCTGATGAAAACAAAGCATGCTAGGAAAGAGATTGTTCTGATAGACAAGTGGAATAGAACCCTATGAGGACAGGCCCTTGAGGTTTGTCACCTTCAGCTCATATTATTCCATATCGAAACTACGGCAAGTATAATCACAAATGTACCAGGACAGGTCCAGCAAAAAGTGAAGAGAGATGTGAATCAAAAGTGTAAATGGGCATTACATTTCCAGTTTTCTTATATTTTATTTTATATTTATATTTTCTTTTATTAGTATATGTTGATACACAATTCTTCATGTATATTTAAAAGCCACAATTCAAAATAATGAACCATAGTCAAAATAATGGACATATCCATCATCTCCAAGTTTTCTTTCATACCTTTACAATCCTCTTCTCTCTGGAGTGGATTGAAATTATGCTTTTGCAAAAAGTAAAGACAAAGAAAGGAAGGAAGAGGGGAGTGAGGGAGGTAGAGAGGGAGAGAGGAAAGTATGGTTATCTTCTTAGAATTGTACATATGACATAGACGAAATCGTTTATATTAATAAAAATTAAAAATTAAGTTTTAATTACTTTTTAAAATTAATTTAGAAAAAAGCGCCTAATGTCCATTATGTGAAAGCTGCATGAATTTAAAGCATTACCGCAGTTTTGCAAAATGCAGCCCACGCGCGCCGCGTTGCTGGCTCCCAGGGGCTCCTGCACCTGCCGGGGGCTGGGGTGCGCGCCCCCAGAGCGCCGTCCGCAGACGTCCACGGTGCCGGGGCGCCTGGGCCCGGCCGCTGCGGTCTCCTCTCTCGGCCGCCAGGTGGCTGTGCTCCCCGCTCCTTCCGGATCCTGCCCCTCGCGCGAGCCAGGAACCCCGCGGTCGCGGGCTATTGCAGTTCCAATTCCAACGGACAGCAATGTGGCCAAGTCATCCAGCCCAATACAATGTTACATCTCTTGCTGATCCTCTCCAGCCTGGGCCCGCTGGCATCCGCGGCCCCGAGTAAGTGGGGAAGGCTGCTGGCAGTTTCCCCTGCCCTTCCTCACCGCCTGGCCAGGCAGGCGGCCCCCTCCCTGCTCCACGGGCTCAGCTCGGAGCGGCTCAGGGCCCAGGTTCAGGGCCTCAGCGCCTCAGGGCCAGGGTCCGGGTCCGGCTGGGCCTGGCGCCTGGAGGCTCAGGGTACAGCTGGGTACACCTGGCCCTGCACAAGCAGGGAGGGTGGATGGGGCTGGAGACTGACAGCCCACACTGCCCCATTCAGGGCTGAGGTCAACAGCCCCAGAGTCTCCGGACAGTGATCAGTCAGTCTCCCTCCTGGGGAGCCTCCTCCTGGAATGAGACAGTGTGTACGTATGTGTGTGTGTGTGTGCGTGTGTGTATGTGCATGTGTGTATGTGTATATGTGTGTGTATGTGTGTGCATATATGTATGTGTGTGTTATGTTTGTGTATGTGTGCATGTGTGTATGTGTAATGTGTGTTTGTGTGTATGTGTGTGCATATATGTATGTGTGTGTGTTATGTTTGTGTATGTGTGCATGTGTGTATGTGTGTGTATATGTGAGTGTGTGTGTGTATATAGGCTTGGGTGCTAGAGTGAGGAGACATCAGAGGACGAGGGAAGTGGACGCTGCTGCCTCTGGCGGATGCTAACTGGTTTCCTTTGCTGCAGGTTCTGAAATGCCACTTCTGTACCTCACAGTGCCGCAGAGGGTTGGGCTGAACAGCAGCCAAGGCTATCCTCCCGAAACTCACGTAACTAAGACTTCCTTTTTTAATTGGGGCTATTTTGTTGTTACTTGACTGTATGGCTCTGACCAATCACACATATTCCTTTTTGAAATTTTGTGTGTGTTGTAATTTATGGTGCTAACGAGTTGTTTGGCCTGAGAGAAAATATTTGTTTCTCTCTTAATTTCTCAAGTAATATGGTACCATATGTAACAATTTAAAAATACGTATTCAGAAAAAAATGCCTCAAATTCCTATAATATAAAATAGCCTGTATAGGTCACTGACTCTCTGAACACAGGTATTTCAATATATATTCTTATTAACTGAGGTCATGCTGATGCTTGTATCATGTCTTTAAATGAAAGTATAAAATTAACATCTTCATGCATACACATATTTATACTTAACTCCTTTTCAGCAAGAAATAATTGATTACAATATAAAAATATTCATTGTAAAAGAATCTAGTGCAGAGATTTGTGAATCCAGTGAGTATCTACTCCAGTTTCTAAGATAGTAAGTGTGAAGTAATGATATCTTGACATACATATATGCATTCCAGTGATGATATGTTAGTGCTAATGGCTTTTTAATTTACATGGATTTAACATCATTTATATTATCAAATTTTGACATGTGGAGATGCTCATAAACCTTCTTTGATATTGATCTCTATAGAATCAATGTGTAAGTCATTAAAAAATAATGGGGATTAATGATCACAAAATTATATTCCAGAAAGATTGCATTGTATTTTTCACCCATTAACAAAGAACCGTGATGCCTAACTTCTTAAGCCCTCACCTGCCTTGATTCAGCCTTCTACTCTCTGCTGATGTCAGTATCGACAAAAATGTCTCATTTTCTATTGGTATTTTTATTTAGTTTTAACATAATATGATGGCAATTTTTGTTAATTTCTTGTTGATTTTGACTTCTCTTTTTTATAATGATTAGTAGTTCTGCCTGTGACACTTTGTTTTCAAGGAAGAAGTGTTGATCTCACATCAGAAGAAAGGTGTAAGTGGAATGGTGATACTACACTAGATCTTAGCCAGTAGAGAGGAAGGAGTGTGGAAACAGGGAAGAGAGGGTAGCGTGTGCTGTCAAAACCAAATATATGAAATACACGGGTTTTGTTCCTTTTATATAAGTACAAAATAAAGAAGGAATACAGAGTCTTCAATTAAAAATCATAGGCTCTAACGTACATGTGATACTTTGGTGGTCTGAATCATTCATTTCCTGGTACCAAAACAAACAAACAAACAAACAAACAAACAAAAAAACAGAGTCAAGGTGTTAATAGAAATCACTACACCAACGACGTAAATATCCAGAGAGGAGAGAGGTTTAAATGTTTAGCAGAGAGTAACATATAGAACTGACTAGGGTCTAAGGGACTACTTTGTTCTGAAAAAGGAACCCACCCACTTTGTACCCATCGTCTCAAAGTACCAGGCTCCAATCTACTGTGGTAGAGCCACTGTTAACCTCCATTCTGACATAAGGGACAGGCAGCAGCCCCACTAGTACCAGAAGCCACCAGAGCCAGAGACAGAACATTCTCTGGAGCAGAGCACAGACACTGTGTGCCCTGTGGCTGTGGGAATTCTGAACTGAAGCTCCGGACCCACACTTGGTCACTTTGCAACATTGAGGGCAGTTCCCTTTGCCTTCCTTGGGCTGGCACCAGAAGCCATCCATAAAAAATCTGAACGCAACACAGATGAGGAAATCTTGATGCATCTCATAGAACATGGTGCTGGGTGCCCACGCCTAAGACCCAGCATCACCCTTGTGTTCCTTGTGGGAACTGGGAGCAGTTCCATCTGTGCCTAGAACTAGGACTATTGATGTTGGTGTTACAATCCCTAGTATAACTTGAGTTCACCAGTGGTATCTGGAGAACTTGATCCGTATTCCTCTGCTTGTGTATGGGAGGGTGCCAGTTCACAATTTTAGAATTCCCAGCACAGTTGGCTCTAACACCATGAGATCTGGTTAATGACCCCACTGTTTTCTGTAGCACCAGGACTGTGGCTGTTAGGCTAGGTTACTAAACTCCTCAAACTCACTGGAATTTGTCCTGTTTGGCACAGGGACAAAGCTACATACATCCCACCTCTTCAAACTCACACCTGTCAGTAATAAATTCCCAGTGTATCTAGGAGTCACTCCGTGGGAATGAAGCAAGGCCCCCATCAAATTCCCCAGTTTTGAAATCAGGGACTGTCGTTCTATAAGCCCCAGCACCACTCCCACTCACCAGCAAGAACCGAGGAAGGTCCAATCTAATTCACACAATCCTAGACCCACTGTTTTGGTATCACAAGCTCCAGAACCACTCAGCCATCTAAAGAAACAAGCACAACAACTACAAAAACTCCTCTTTTCCAACAAAACCTACTCAACAAAAAGGGATATCAATATGGGGACACAGGAAGCATGAAGAGGCAGAGTGCATGCAACCTCATAAGAACACAACATTATCCAGAAGCAGACCTTGATCTGGAGGAAATCTGCGAAATATCTGAAAAAAGAATTCAACACACTCATCCCAAGTGAAACGCTAAATTCATGCAAGAGAGTACAAATACAGAGCTTAAAGAAATGAGAAGGGGGTTGGCTTTGTGGTGTAGCAAGTTACACTGTCACCTGTGATGCTGGCATGCCACATTCGTGTTGGTTCCAGTCACAGCTGCTCCACTTCTCATCCATCTCTCTGCTAATTCTAGGAATTGTGGGAGGCCTGGACAAAGTACCAAGCTCCAGCTTTGGCCTAGACCAACACTGGCCACTGTGGCCATTTGGGGTGTGAACCAGTAGATAGAGGATATCTCTCCCTGTTTCTCCCACTCTATCTGTATATTTGCCTTTTGAATAAATAAGTAAATATTTATAAAAAGAACAATGAAAAACAAATGAGGAAAATAGATGGCATCAATGAGAAATTCAATAAAGAAAAATCATTAAAAAGAAGCAGACAGGACCTGGCCTGACGCTCTGGCATCCCATGTGGGCACCAGTTCGAGTCCTGCTGCTCCACTTCCAATCCAGCTCTCCGCTATGGCCTGGGAAAGCAGTAGAAGATGGCCTAAATCCTTGGACTCCTGCACCCACATGGGAGACCTGGAAGAAGCTTTTGGCTCCTGGCTTTGGATCGGCGCAGCTCTGGCCATTGTGGCCATCTCGGGAGCGAACCATCTGGATGGAAAACCTCTCTCTCTGTCTCTACCTCTCTCTGTAACTCTGTCTTTCAAATAAATAAAATAAATCTTAAGGAAAAAAAGAAGCAGACAGAAATTTTGGATCTGAAAACTTCAGTCAATGAAATAAAACACAATTGAGAGCATCACAGCAGAATAGATGAAGCAGACAAAAGAATTTCTGATTTGGAGGACAGGACTTTTATAATAGCCCAGTCAGAAAAAAAGTAGAAGAATGAAGTAAGTCTATGTGAAATATGGGATAACTATTAAATGAACACATACATATAGTGATTCCTTAAGGAAAAGAACCTAATGAATTAAATAATTTTGGAAACCTTTCTGAATCTTTAAAGAGACATGCATTTCCAGATGGAAGAAACTCAAAGATATCAATGTCACTCAACCATAAAGACTTTCTGCAAGACATATTATAGTCAAAATGTCGAATTTAAGAACAAGGAGAGAATCTGAAAGTAAGGGAAAAGAATCAAGTTACACATGTAAGAGGGAAAAAATGAGACTTACAGCAGACTTCTTAGCAGAAACCCTGCAGTCCAGAAGAGAGTGGGAGTATATATTTCATGTTGAAAGAAATAACTGCCAGCCAAAACCTTATATCCAGTAAAGATATCCTTTAGAAGTGAAGGAGATACAGGCATTATATAAGCATGAAAGAGTTCATCACCACCAGACCAGTCTTACAAGAAATCCTGAAGGGAGTGCCACCCCTTTCAGAAATAAACACTATGAAAACACATGCCAGCACCAAGCTCACAAACAGAGTAGATGCAACTAGTAACCAGTCAGCAGTATGGCAGGCATTAGTCATTATCTGTCCAGCTAACTGTGACTGTAAATGGAATCATTTCCCCAGTCAAAAGATATAGTTTGGCTGAATGGATTAACAAATACAAGACCTAGGTCCAGTGTTGTGGCATAGTGGCTTAAGCAGCCACTATGGGTATCAGTTCATATCCCAGATGCTCCACTTCAGATCCAGTTGCTTGCAAATGGCCTGGGAAAGAAAGGGGAAGATGTCCCAAGTGTTCGGGTCCCTGCCACCCATGTAGAAGACCTGGAAGAAGCTCCTGACTCCTGGCTTTAACCTGGTCCAGCCCTGGCCATTGCAACCATTTTGGGAGTAAACCAACAGAGGGAAGATTTTTTTTAAAGATTTATTTTATTTATTTGAAAGGCAGAGATACAGAGACAGAGGGAAGAACAGAGACAGAGAAATCTTACATCCACTGGCTCACTTCCCAAATGGCCACATAGTCAGGGGTGGACCAGACCAAAGCTAGGAGCCAGGAGTTTATTCTGGATCTCACATGTGAGTTCAGGGGTTCAAGGACTTGTGCCATCTTCTGCTTTCCCAGGTACATTAGCAGGGAGCTGTATCAGAAGTGGAATAGCCAGATTCCAACTGGTGCCCAAATGCAATGCCAACATTGTAAGTGGTGTCTACCTGCTATACCACAACACTGGCCCAAGAAGGAAGATATTAATCTCTCTTGTCTCTCCCTTTTTCTGTAATTCTGCCTTTCAAATACATAAATAACCCTTAAAGAATACACCCAATTATATGCTACATTCAAGAAACTCACTTCACAATTAAAGATATACATAGCCTGGAAGTGAAGAAAAATATGGGAATCAAAAATCAGCAGGATTCTGGCCAGTGCCACGGCTCACTAGGCTAATCCTCCGCCTTGCGGTGCCGGCACACCGGGTTCTAGTCCTGGTCGGGGTGCCGGATTCTGTCCTGGTTGCCCCTCTTCCAGGCCAGCTCTCTACTGTGGCCCAGGAGTG